GCTGGATATCCTCACCTCCCCCTTAATGTCCTTTTCCTTTCTCCTTCTTCCAGACCCTTGTTGCTGAGCAAAGGAAAGCTGTTTAATGCAAGCTGCAGCACTTAGATCTCTGACATTTAGTAATTACATTTTAGGATACATTTCAACTGTTTTTACTGTCAATTCTCTGAGAAAGCAAGGGCCCACTGAAAACCAGCTTAGAGGAGACAGTCTAAGATAACAGGCAGTTGAAATGTCAAATAATCTTCTCTCTGTTACTCTGATCTTTGGCTTACAAGTTTCTTTTACAGAGTTTTCCTCCAAAACAGGCAAATGAAAATGGTATATTGGCTGAACTTGATAGTTTTATATATATATATTATATATATATTATATATATATATTTATATTATATATATATATATATATATTTGTTTGTTTGTTTAGGAGAGTGAATCATGTTGCTTTTATAATTTAAAACCTATATATCAGGCCCATCATTGAATAAAGAGCAACAGCATCTACTTCTTTTCAGCTTATAAACAGTCAAATTCTCTATCTATACATTCTTACAGTGCATTAGATTACTTCAATCTGAGACATAATTTGTTTGACTTTTGCTGCTTTTATGCATGTCCCTCGTGACAGCCATGAAAAGGACATTTAACCAGAGTTCAGTAGTTAGAGATGTGGCCACCAGATGGTGGTGCACCTCTGCTGATGAGAACATGTGGAGGGTTCCTTTGAGTGGATTCTGAATGAATAGGCTTAGGGCAGAAGCAGAGCCTTTTTCTGATTGGCTGGGTAGACAATAAAGAAACCACTAGAGAAAAGAAGGGGACACTTGGTAACAGAAGCAGGTCTCCTGGCTGGAGACTGCAGGTCCACAATTGATCCTAAATGGGAAAAACAATGAAGACACCCATTGGAGCTTTAATCACATTCTTATGGCTAGAGCTGAACTGTGAGTTGAGGGTTTAAGGGAAACAGTAAAATAAATTAATTAATTAAAAAAAAAAGGGAAACAGAGTGTATTAGTAGATATTCGTTAGACACCGAGACTGACTTTATTCAGGTTTCTTCTAGCTATTGTAGAAAAGGGAAAATAAATTGTGGAACTTAATAATCTGACAACCTTCTTCTTTCTCTGACTTCTCCTTTCTCCATAGGTGTCAGTCTTGGAAACGAGGTGGAGCAGAGTCCTTCTACCCTGAGTGTCCAGGAGGGAAACACTGCTGTTATCACCTGCACTTATACAGACACAGCTTCAGAGTATTTCCCTTGGTATAAGCGAGAACCTGGAAAAGGCCCCCAGCTCCTTGTAGCTATTCGTTCAACTATGGGTGAGAAAAAAGACCAGAGACTGACTGTTTTATTGAATAGGACCGCCAAACGTTTCTCCCTGCACATCGCAACCATCCAACCTGGAGACTCAGCTGCCTACTTCTGTGCAGCAAGGACACAGCGCTTCCCAGGCAGCCGCTACCTGTACTCATACTTGTGACAGGCAGCCCCCTTCCTCTGGTGCAACCTTCAAAGTAGCATCTGTCATATTGTTTGTCTGCAAGTGGAAACTGATGTGTTAGACAAGCATAGAATAAGAAGGTTAGGTTCAAGATGACCCAGAAAGTATGACACATTTTATGGATAATTGCTGCTTACTGATTTCTTGAAGGGAGTTAGCATTGTTTTGTTTTGAAATTGTAAGAATGCCTTTACATTTGCCACTCAGACTCCTTTTCTATAAATAACCTCTTGGTATCAATTGATAATCCTTATTATGAATGATTTTTTTAATACTGTGTTTTGAAAACAACATTTATTATTTTTCTGATTATATATTGCATGCTAATTATAGGGAAATGTGTGATATACAATAAATATGATATTGATAATTCTGCAATCACATAATATTGTGAATATTCAGCTTACCTTTTCAATAAATTATTGTTACAATAGGCTTATAATGTTTTTCACTTACTATTATATGTTGAATTGAGCAGTCCCCATTCACATAGTTGATTATCAGTAGGTGTTTGTTAAAGAAATAAAAAAAGGTGAATCCTGCAATGTAGGAGACCCTGGTTCAATTCCTGGGTTGGGAAGATCTGCTGGAGAAGGGATAGGCTACCCACTCCAGTATTCTTGGGCTTTGCTTGTGGCTCAACTGGTAATCTGCCTGCAATGTGGGAGAGTTGGGGTCAATCCCTGGGTTGAGAAGATCCCCTGGAGAAGGGAAAGGCTACCCACTCCAGTATTGTGGCCTGGAGAATTCCATGGGCTGTATAGTCCATGGGGTCACAGAGTCAGACATGACGAGCAACTTTCACTTTCACTTTAACAGGCATACATGATATGTGAACTGTGTTAAAAACCTAAAACTTCCACTGAATATATACTTTTTGCAATTTAATGTATCCAAGATAGATTCACAAGTTCAGCTACTTAGTTAATTTTGTTTTTACTAATGATTGGTTTACAAAGGAGTTTAGAATAGTTATTGTGTAGACAGCCTGGTATTGTTTCTTTTTAATATTTAAGATAAGATTATTTTAAAACACATTGATTCACACTTCGTACGAGAGTGTAAAAAAAAATCTGTTCTGGACACGAAGGCATTTTGAATAGCAAAGGTACTATCAGGAGAACTTTTCACTGAGAAGGGTAACAAAGTTGAATACCCTGAGGGGAAATTAATATTTTATATTAGTCAACTGATCGGTAGAAAAAGGTTGGGTGTTTTAGGTTGGAGAACAATTTGTGCTATGTGTTGTACCATCAGATTTAATGAAGTTTCCAGACAGGATCTGAAAAAACTTCAACCAATTTAGCTGAAGCTGTAATTACTTGGAGATAAGAAGGCAAGATCTGTTCAACTTTAAGGGGAAGGCCCCTGTAGCTAACAGCTCTCTGCTGTTTGCCATTGTTGACTAAAAAGATGCGCTATGTGAGAGACGTGAGCTAAATTTTACTTGGGGCAAAATGAGGACTGCAGCCGGGGAGATCGAAGCTCAGATAGCTCGGAGAGACTGCTCCAAAGAGGTAGTGGGGGAACCGTCAACAATAAGATTTTGGTGAAGGGGGAATTCAACGCAATCAAGTGCTTACTTTACAAAAAATTTTCTGCTAGTCCCAAGGAGCTGATGTCACATGAAGGGATTTAGTGTTTCTCTAGATATGAAGAGATGCAGGGATTGGGATCATGAAATCAGTTCCTGAAAATATCTAACTGTGTAAAGACCTGTTTCACCAGTTTCCCTGGAGAAGAGTGCCTCACTGTCCACCCTGCATTACCCTCAGAGGCTTTTGAAGGTCAGCAGCTGAGGCAGCACAGGGTTCAGTCTCTGTAGAGGTAGAAGACAAATGCCCTCGCTGTTGTTCAGTTGCTGGCAAATACTCTTGGCAAGTGCCAATTTGTAGTTGACAACATGTTGATTAGTAATATCCTTAGGCATGGTTTCCCTTTTACATTTTTACACAAATATTATAATCAGTAGTGGTCTTATGATCAACTGTCTTATGGAGGTCTGTCAGGAAGCTTTTAACAGGAGGCTTCCCTTGTGCTGTTATGGATCTGTCAGGAAACCTTTGGCCCTTATTGATTCCTGAATATTCAGGAATTAAGAGGAGAGGCACGCCTTTCCCTTCCCTGGGCTGAGGAATCCAGACATCTCCTTTGTTAGTTTCTCATTATGGTGATAAGTATCCTCTTCTCTCTTTAATAGGAATCACCTTGTGTTTTGTAAGTCTGGAATTTTAATCTTTATCTTTGCTGAGAATAACTGCGGTATATATGCCCACGCCATGTTGATTAAATCACCTTTGCTCCATCAGAGTTTTGGTCCCCGTGTTTTTCTTTCTTTCTTTCTTTTTTTCTCTCTCTATCTATTTCTGGCTGATTCCCTGTAGCGTGGAAGCCGGCTGTGTAACCCAGGGAATATTAGCCTCTTTACTTCTTTCACTCTCTCATGGTCAACTCTGGACCACCAGGTTCCGGTCCATTAAAGGACCAACAGAAGTCTCTTGTGACACATTCCCTTAGAACTAGGTGCACAGAATACAGAGGCTTTTTGAGGCTTTTTTGGGCTCCCCTCGTGGCTCAGATGGTCAAGAATCTGCCTACAATGCAGGAGACCTGGGTTCAATCCTGGGGTTAGAAAGATCCACTGGAGGAGGGAATGGCTACCCACTCCAGTATTCTTGCCTGGAGAATGCCATGGACAGAGGAGCCTTGCAGGTCTGGGGTTGCAGAGAGTCAGACCTGACTGAGAGGGTTCCAATTGAATTAATGGGAACAATATAAATTCAGAGGTTTGATAACCTGATGACCAAAATCTAGCATCTATTTGCCCTCTCTGAACAGACCTGGACTGTCAGAACAAATAGAGAGGAGAAAGGGACCACTGTGATAGGACTCCATGTCTACGAGATTCATTCTAGCCTTCTGCAAAGGGAGATTATCTTTTCTCCTACTATTAGGTCCCAAGTTAGGTAACTGAGCAGATGTTGTGGTGAAGAATTATAGTGATTGCTATATTGATATGTAGGTTGAGAAAGCTGCAGTAATTAGCACAAACAGATTTGTCTTCTTCTCATAAAGCAATTTATCTCTATCTTAAGTGAAAGAAAACACATGTAGGTATGAGGATAAATGATCACTACATCTTATGTTGTTTCCATAATCCATTACATGCAGTATCTTGAAACAAGTTCCATCATAGATGCAACAGCTGAACACAGTAGTTAGTCAAATTTTCACTCTTCCTTTCAATATCAAATTTGACTTGTGTTTATTTTCAGATGTAGCTGGTGTCAACTGAAAATGGGTTTGGGTAGACTCCGGGAGTTGGTGATGGACAGGGAGGCCTGGCGTGCTGCGGTTCATGGGGTCGCAAATAATGGGACACAACCGAGCAACTGAACTGAACCGAACTGAATTGAAGAGCTGGTTAATGCAAAAGGAAGTTTGGGGTGAGTAAGACATTCACCTGGTTCGTAGAGAAGTTGACATGAGCCACATCAACTTGCTACTCCAGGAAACCCCTGTTTCCTGTTGTGGGGCAGCAGCAGCACAAACCCAGCAATCCTTCCCTCACCCTGTAAGGCTCACCTTGCAAAGCCTTGACATTGAAGAAGAAGATATTTTCCATCTGGTGGAGAGCTGAAACATGCTTCTCTCCAGCCTTCTGAAAGTGGTCGTGGCTTCACTGTGTTTAGGTAAGGATGGTCCCAATGGAACTGTGCCTCCTCTGTGACCTAAGGACTGGGGGAACAGGCAGTCTTATGGGAACCGTGGGAAGAAGGGGTAGTAGGGTCTAAAATAGGATTTCCTTATTCCACACCACTTATACCTAAAGTTCTGATTCTATTTTTTTTTTCTTTAGGATCCATTATTGCCCAGAAGGTAACTCAAGACCAACCACAAGTACTAGTACAAGAGAAGGAAGCTGTAACCCTGGACTGCAAGTATGACACCAGTGATTCACAGTATTATTTATTCTGGTACAAGCAGCCCAGCAATGGGGGGATGATTCTCCTTGTTCGTCAGGATTCTTATAACCAGCAAAATGCCACAGAAGGTCGCTACTCATTGAATTTCCAGAAAGCAAGAAAATCTATCACACTTGTCATCTCAGCTTCACAGCTGGAGGACTCTGCAGTGTATTTCTGTGCGCTGAGTGAGCCCACAGTGAGACGTGTGGAGGAGAGACCTGCACCAAAACCCAGGGCCCTTCTCCACCTGCCATAGGGACTAGGGCAGGGAGTTGCCAGCACAGACAGGAAGTGATTATGGTTGCACAGGCATAGGGTTAGAGAGAAGATACTCATTCTAAGAAAATAGTTCTCTAGGTTCAGAGGCCATATTCAGAGCTATCATTCACAAAAAAAAATTTAGGTTTAAATTATATATTTATTAAAAATGTAAAATTATGTACTGTAGTGATTAGTATGAGCTAGAAGAATTGACTAAGGAAATTCAGAAATGTCTGAATTATAAATCAGTAAAATATGTGTGAATTGTTGGATTTTCATTTCAATTTATTTATGTTTTACCAAAAGTTTTCACTTTTGTCTCAGGTTCAAAGGCTTTGTTAACAAAATAAGCCACTTGTTATATACAAATAAATAATATAGATGTTTATTGAAGAATTATCTAGCTTACTTTCAACATATTAGCATTAAACATTTTAATATTAAAAGAAAATAGAAATAGAAAGAGCAGATGATACATCACCAAATTGGGTTTTGACCAACATCCAGACGTGGATGGAGGTCAACATCCAAACTTGAGAGTTTTCAGCACTGGGAAGTCCCAGGTCACAGCACATCTGGAGTCCCAATTATGAAAAGAGTTCTCTCCGTGGATAAGACTTCAAAGATTACAGTTTAGGGCTCCCATTTACAATCCCAGGGCAGTTGCAAACTGATATCATCATCAATCTGTGACCAAATTGCAGCTCTGGTTCCCTTAATGTTGTTAGTTTAGTCATGTAAGACTTGGAATGTTGCTAAGGCTGGAGGATCCCTCTAGGAGCTCAACAGTCTCAAGATTCCTTCCCCATCTTATCCATGGTGTTGGAAGTCTTGCACTCACAGCAGGCAGTTACTCACAGTCAACTTACAGTCAGGGCAGTGTCCAGGCAGGTTAGAAGCAAGGTCAGAGGCTTGTTCTGCTTTGTCTCTGAAGCCTAAACAAGACTATTTATTTAATTTTCCCAGCAATTCATTAAATATTAATTGACTATATGTTATATTACAGGTATTGTTCTGTCATGAAATCTCTGTGTGATTTTCCTTCTTTTGAATATCATGTTGTTTTATACCATTTAATAAATTCATTCATTTTAGTTTTGTTAGCTGAGTTAATGGTACATTTATTTACATTCTAAGGTGCCTACTTTGTGCTAATACTCATTGCTTCTTATTAACACCTCTATCACTGAATGGTTCAATTTCCATAATGTAGGTTTTTCCTGCCTCTCTTCAGTCTTATCCACAAAAAGATCAATAATTAGTGGCCCTTAGAAGGACATTTTGCCAAGTACTGTATGAATTATGTTCTGTCTCTGATCTTGGTTTCACTGCACACTCCTCCAAAAACATTTTTTCCATCATGTGGCTGATTTTGCACTCCTCTAGACCCTCTCGTTCAATCATTGTTACACAATCCCAAATATTCCTTCTCTGCAATTTCTTCCTTCTACCTTGAATCCCATTTTTGTCAATGTTTTAAAAGTTGAATGGTAATGGGTGGTTGCTAAGTGATCTTGTATAGTAGCTGCCTCTTATATTTGTATTTGGAAAGCAATTCTGTAGAGTAGAAATCTTAAGAGGAATGCCTTACACTGTTTACAATAAGTGAGGCTGGAAAAACTAGACAGCTAAATGTAAAAGAATGAAATCAGAACACTCTCTAACGTCATACACAGAAATAAACTCAAAATGGATTAAAGGCCTAAATGTAAGACTGGATACTATAAAAGCCTTAGAGGATAACATAGGCAGAACACTCTTTGACATAAGTCACATTAGAATCTTTTCTTGGTCTACCTCCTAGAGTAATGAAAATAAAAACAAAAGTAAACAAATTGAACCTAACTAAACTTAAAAGCTTTTGCATAGCAAAGGAAATCATAAACAAAACAGAAAGAAACTTCACAAAATGAGAGAAAATATTTGCAACCGAATTGACAAGGGATTAGTCTCCAAAATACACAAACAACTCATGCAGATCCATAAAAAAAAAAAAAAAAAAAAACCCAAACAATTCAAATTAAAAATGAGGGGACGATCCAATAGACATTTCTCCAAAGAACATGTACAGTGACCAAGAGGCACATGAAAAGATTCTCACGGCCACTAATTACTAGAGAGATGCAAATCAAAACTACAATGAGGCATCACTTCACACTGATCTTTGGGCTTCCCTGGTGGCTCAGCTGGTGAAAAATCTGCCTGCAATGTGGGAAACCTAGGTTTGATCCCTGGATTGGGAAGATCCCCTGGAGAAGTGAAAGGCTACCCACCCCAGTATTCTGGCCTGGAGAATTCCGTGGACTGTATAGTCCATGGGGTCACAAAGAGTCGGACACAACTGAGTGACTTTCACTTTCACTCACACTGATCAGAATGGCCATCATCAAAGAATCTACAAGCAATAAATTCTGGAGAAGGTGTGGAGAAAAGAAGAAAAGGGAACCCTCCTACACTGTTGGTGGAAATGTAAATTGGTATAGCCACTATGGAGAACAGTATGGAAGTTCCTTAAAAAACTAAAAGGAGTGCTACCATATGACCCAGCAATTCCACTCCTGGGCGTAAATCTGCAGAAAACCATACTTTGAAGAAATGCATGCACCCTAATGTTCACTGCAGCACTACTTACAATACCAAGGACATGGAAGCACCCTATATGTCTATGGAAAGAATGGATAAAGAGGATGTGGTACATGTATACTATGCAACATTACTCAGCCATAAAAACAGTGAGGTAATGCCATTTGCAGCAACATGGATGGACCTGGAGATTGTCACACTGACTGAAGTCAAGCAAAGACAAGTATCATATATTACTTATATGTGGAATCTTTAAAAATGGTACAAATGAACCTTTTTCCAAAACAGAAGTAGAGTCACAGATATAGGAAACAAATTTATGGTTACCGAGGGGGGAAGTAGGGGAGGGATAAATTAGGAGTCTGGGATTGTCATATACATACTACTGCATGAATAATGTAGAGAGATAACTAATAAGAAACCTACTGTAGGGCACAGGGAACTCTGCTCAATACTTTGTAAGGACCTACATGGGAATATAATTCTAAACAGACCGGATGTGCTGTGTGTGCACAACTGATTCACTTTGCTGTACAGAGAAAACTGACATGGTAAATCAACTATACTCCAGTAAAAGTTAATTTTAAAAGCTTTAAATTGGTTTAACTCAAGAAATCTTACCATCNAAGGTGAAAAGACAGCCCTCAGATTCGGAGAAAATAATAGCTGGTACACTGGGAAGACCCAGAGGGATGGAATGGGGAGGGAGGCAGGAGCAGGGATCTGGATGGGGAACAAATATAAATCCATGACTGATTCATGTCAATGTATGGCAGAAACTACTACAATATTGTAAAGTAATTAGCCTCTAATAAAAATAAATGAAAAAAATAAAAATAAAGAAAGCTGAGCACCAAAGAATTGATGCTTTTGAACTGTGATGTTGGAGAAGACTCTTGACGGTCCCTTGGACTGCAAGGGGCTCCAACCAGTCCATCCTAAAGAAGATCAGTCCTGGGTGTTCACTGGAAGGACTGATGTTGAAGCTGAAACTCCATTCCTTTGTCACCTGATGTGAAGAGCTGACTCATTTGAAAAGACCCTGATTCTGGGAAAGATTGAAGGCAGGAGAAGAAGGGGATGACAGAGGATGAGATCGTTGAATGGCATCACCGATTTGATGGACATGAGTTTGAGTAGCCTCCAGGAGTTGGTGATGGACAGGGAGACAGGTGTGCTGTGGTCCGTGAGGTCGCAAAGAGTCAAACATGACTGAGCGAGTGAACTGAACTGAACTGAATAATGTTTAAGTGTATAATACAGTGATATTAAATAGATTTATATTATTATTAAACAGCAACATTATCCATCTCTAGAACTCTTTTCATGTTGAAAAACTGAAAAATTGTACTCATTATTGTGTGGCTCCCCATTCCCCTGTCCCTCTAGCCCCTGGACACTACTCTTCTACTCTCTCTGAGTTTGACTACTTCAGACAGCCTGTATAAGTGGAATCATGCAACACTGGTCATTTTGTGTCTTATTTCATTTATCATGCTGTACTCCGGTTTCATCTATGTTGTAGCATGTTTTAGAATTTCTTTCCTTTTTAAGGTTGAATAATATTCTAGTGTAAGTATAGACCACATTTTTTTCTATCCATTCATTTGTTGATATTTGGGTTGCTTCCACCTTTTGATGGAAATATATATATATATATATATATATCTTTATTTTGGGCATGTGCCAAAATTTCAATTTTTGTAATAATTAGCAATGGAATTCCTGAATATATGGCACTTCTATTTTAAAATTTTTGAGAAATATTTATCCTAGTTAATTTGAACAGCTTTCCTCTAGACTGCTTTATCACAAGCCAGTTTCAAGGACTAGAGAAAGCAAGTGATCAGGAGCTGTGAATGAAATTTTGGTACCCTGGTGGCTCACCTAAACTTAGAAAAATTTGTCATCTTTTTTTATAGTGCATTGTTCCTCAGGTGCCTAATAATTGATCTGAAAGGAATGGCCAAGGCAGCACCTGGTCAGCTCCTGAACTGCAGCTTGGATATTCTTTCCAATGTGTTGCTGTCCTCTTTTGGTGAAAGGGTCAAATCTGTGATTATTTAGTCATTTTTTACTGTTCAATATGCAGAAATAAAGAAGAAAGTAGTTCACAGACTGTATTGTATTTGTGTGTGCTCTGTTGCTTCAGTCATGTCCAGCCCTCTGTGACCCCGTGGACTGTAGCCTGCCAGGCTCCTCTGCCCATGGGATTATCCTGGCAAGAATACTGGAGCGGGTTGCCATTTCCTCCTCTGGGGGATCTTCCCAACTCGGGGATCCAACCTGTAGCTTCTGCATTGCAGGTGGGTTCTTTACCACTGAGCCACCAGGGAAGCCCCTGAAAATTATCCATNAACTCGGGGATCCAACCTGTAGCTTCTGCATTGCAGGTGGGTTCTTTACCACTGA